TTCGTGTGCAGGTATCTTTTTTTATAGAGTGATTTGAGTTCTTCAGGGTATATTCCCAGTAGGGGGATTGCAGGGTCATATGAGAGGTTGATGTTTAGAGCTTTTAGGAACCGCCACACTGCTTTCCACAGAGGTTGCACTAGTTTACACTCCCACCAACAGTGTAGAAGTGTTCCTCTTTTCACCACACCCTCTCCAGCAGCTGTTATTTTTTGAGTTGTTGATAATGGTCATTCTGACTGGAGTTAGGTGGTATCTCAGTGTGGTTTTGATTTGCATCTCCCTGATGATTAATGAGGTTGAGTATTTCTTCATGTATCTGTTGGCTGCTCGGATGTCTTCCTTTGTCTGTTCATATCTTTTGACCACTTTATAATGGGGTTGTTTGTTTTTTTCTTTTCAGCACGTTTGAGTTCCTTGTAGATCCAGGATGTTAAGCCTTTGTCAGACCTGGAGTTGGCAAATACTTTTTCCCAGTCTGTAGGCTGTCTTCCTGCTCTCTTGATGGTTTCTTTGGCTTTGCAGAAGCTTGTAAGTTTAATGAGGTCCCACTTGTCTATCTTATCCCTTATGTCCTGTGGGTTTCGAGTTTTGTTCAGGAATTGGATGCCAGTTTCAATTTCCATGAGGATATGTCCTTCATTTTCTAAGGTTCTTATGGTTTGAGGTTTTTTTTTATATTTAGGTCCCTGATCCATTTGGAGTTAATTTTTGTATATGGGGATAGATAGGGGTCCTGTTTCAATCTTCTGTCAGCCAGTTTTCCCAGCACCATTTACTGAATAGGTTCTCCTCTCCCCAGTGGTAGGCGGTGGAGGTTTTGTCGAAGATGAGTTGGTTGAGAAATTGAGGTCTTGCCTCTGGAATCTCAATTCTATTCCATTGGTCTGTATGCCTGTTCCTGTACCAATACCAAACTGTTTTGATGATTGTAGCTTTATAGTAAAGTCTGAAGTCTGGTAATGTGATACCACCTGCTTTGTTTTTTTTTTTTTTTGCTGAGGATTGTTTTGGCTATTCTTGGTTGTTTGTGTTTCCATATGAAT